CAGTCGTTCGGTACTGATTCATTTCTTTGGTGCATCTTTCTACTATCCTGAGCAGCTGAAGTTCCGTGGAATGCTTTCCTCGGAATCCAAACTGTTCAGGCAGAAGCAAATCAAGCTCGCTCGTTTCCTCCTTGAGTCTCCTCAGTATAGCCCTTTCGGCTACTTTACTGAGAGCGGGCAATTCCGTTTTCTTCTGTGGGATGTCTGCGGAATGTCCTGCGTAGCCTATGGTTGGTGATTTTTCTCCGGATGGCGGCCGTTTGCGTTGTTGTCTCACAAGCGAATTTTCCGAGTAAAGATATTTGGATGATTTTCGGGTGTCGGAAATCGTTGAAATAACGTTTTGTAACATGTGGGGGTAGGCAACATGGCCAGTGCTTCAATTTGTGCCATCAGTGCATTCAATTTAGGATTTGCAATTGGAAATTCGGGTCTAAATAGAACCGATACAGAACCGAGATAAATAAGAATTTTTCAGTAGATATGTAAATTGAGCACGAACTAGTTTTGGTAATCGGAAATCATATGATGACTGCGCGGCCTTCACGAACTTGTAATCCGAAGTCTGCCGTTTTCAATGAAGTTAAATGTGCTAATCGTTGCAATCAGAGTTGGTGCGACCAACTTTGAGCTGGTGGACGAAGTCCGCCACAAGCTCAATTCGAGGTGCGGCGCAGTGAGGCGCGATGACCTAAAATGACAGGCTGGCGTACTTGCGTCGCGCACAATTGCACCTCGGTTGGCTCTAGAATTTTTCTCGTGTCGCATAGAATTGGGTTTTCATTGGGTCTAGAAGCAGGGATGCCCTAGAAGAAAAAGGAATGTTTATTCACTTCCTTCGGGAGTCACTGTCCAGGGATCGACTGGTGCACTCGTCGCCCCGCGCACTATTATTTTAAGGGCTAATGCGAGAGATGTTCAGGGCGGTGAAAAAAAAAATCTAAGAGTCGAGGATATTAAAAGTTGTTTATCGTTAGATTCGTCACGCGGTACGTCAATATACAGGGATTTGATTCCAAAACATAGCACCCCAAAAAAAGTTATTCTTCATAAAAGGTTCTGCTTGGTCTAAAACCTAAAATTCGACCATTAGATTCTAACTTTTTTTAGTCGTATACGAGCTATATTAGAAAGTATGAGTTTTGCTCAAGAACCAGCAATTTTTGCCAAAATCGAAGATATTATTAAGACAAGTTGATTAGAGCTGAAAAGTACTGGTCATTCGGCTGAAGTCGGACTGTGGGGGCAAACTCGGACAGACCGTTATTGGTCAATACTTTTGTCAAGATCATTTGATGCGCCTCGTAAAAAGTACTCAACCGTCATATTTCCGTAAGTTAATTTCCTAGTCTCATTAGGGGTATAAATTTTAGCTTGATAAATTCGCCGTGGAACACAGGATGGGGATTTCTTGAATTGTATTTTTTCCTTGGAATATGAAAACTATAAGAGACTGTTGCACACAAGAGAATACTAAAAATAAAAAATCCAAATGAGTTTGTTTGTGCTCTATTATTAGTAAACTTATAGCATGTTCATTAGAAATTATTATTTCTAACCAAATTGTTGCGAATGTGACATGAATATTTATAGTTTGAAATTTTTTATTGTTCTTATTCGATTCTCCTTCTTCAAAATACTACATATAAGTTCTGTTTCAATTTTATCACCACTTTTAACCTACTTCATTAAGTTGTCCAACCAAAGAGAAAACATGTTGACATTCCATAGGTTGAAAAAGCGTCCAATCGATATAGCGCGAACGCTCGGCATCGGGAAATCTAACGTCCGACGAACCATCAAGCGGTTCGAAGAGCTCGGCCATACTGGTCGCGTTCAGGAAGTGGCAGAAAGCGGACCGTCAGAACTGTCAAGAACCGGGAGCTCGTCCGCAAACATGTCAGGCGAAATTCGAGGGTCTCCATTAGAAAAATCGCGTGTGAGACCGATATAAATCAGGAATCAATCCGCCACATAGCCAGAGACGATCTCCATCTCCAAGACCTACAAGCTCCAAAAAGTTCAGCTCGTCACGACTCAAACGACTTCTTCGTCTCCACTCTCCCTTCAGTGGGACAACAACCTATTCACGGATGAGATGAATTTGTTTACCGTTGAACAAACCCACAATCAGCAGAACGATAGGAGCTGGTGCGCGGAGGCCCCAGGCAATTCGGCCATCGTCGAACAGCCAAAATCCCGCGGCCGTTATGGTTTGCGCTGCAAATTGCGTCAGGGGCAACACTCCCTCGTTTTTGTGGAACAGAGGGTGAAAATCAGCAAGGACGTCTACCACCGTGACATCCTCAAAGCCGTCGTACTTCCGTGGGCACTCCGGCTCACAGGCGAAAGCGGCTCAGGACTGGTGCCGGACCCATTTTACGGATTTCATCTCATCGGCGGAACGTCCGCCATGCTCGCCAGATCTCAATCCGATGGACTACAGTGTGCGGTCTATCTCCAAAGACCTTTACTCCACACGTAGGGGTAAAGGCGGACATCCTTTATTCAAAAAAAAAAATAGGGGGAATGAAAAGTTAATTTGTTTTAGTATAGAATTCGACAAAGGAGACACGGAAGACTCTAAATTATTTTATTGAAAATATTAGAAAACGTCATCGTGTGAACGTCTAAAATGTCCGACTAATAGAAACACTTTCGTATTATCGTATTGTCGTATAAGCGGATATGGGACAGATGCCTTAACCAAGGTGTAGCGTAGTTCCCCCAATAACGCTTCCCAGCTGCTTGCAATAACAATTGCGATCCGAGGATAATCTCGCGTCACGGAAATTACGGTTCTGTCCCTGTGTATTGGACAGGTTGGTGGAGCCACAAATACAAAATAAGAGTTTGTCGCGTAAGAGTTATAAATATTAATAAAATGTTAGAGTATTACCACCCCAATTGTTAATCTCATTCAAGGTATTGAATTTAGAAGAAGGTTATTGAGAAATGAAATTCATTACAAACAATAAATTGAGACGCGAACAACGGCTCTCGACACTTAAAAGAACTAATAATATAACTACTTACTTAATACTTAATTTCGCCGCAACAAAAGAAAACCCGCTGGGCAGTCGAAAAACAATTAATCCTGTATGCTAATAATTTGATGTGGTTTCGTATAGAAGCGATCGTTTAAATTACATATAAATAACCCTCAGCGCACAACTACAAAACAATTAAACAACGTGACGCTTTGTACAGTTGCCTCAAATAGTTCGAATCTTAACAGTTCAGTTTATGGGTATCATTTTATGATATTGTTGAATCGAATTACTAAAAGAACAAAATAAACATTGTTGTATTTGTTCAAATTGTGTGTAATTTTTGAAATGTTTATTTTAGGTAGAGATGCGCCAATGCAGCCCGCTCAAGTGTCTGTGACTGCACCCTCAGATGCAAGACATCATCGGCACTGGCAGAAAGTTTTGGGTCAGGTCGCAGGACTGCAATTGAGCACAATGCATGTACCTTTACCAACTTTCGGTACTGTATTGGGTAAGTAATTTTTTTTTTCAAAATTTCTGCCTAATTAATGTTTTTTGTTTTAATCCTAATACAGGAGGCACAATGGAACTCCATGGAAACAACGTCTCTTTAGCCTGTTTTCACGGTATTAACTTTAAGAGCAAATCGTGGGCTTTATTCAGCTTGAGAGAACCTTGCATCAACTTTAACACTGAAAGCCAAGAAATTCCATCAACCATTAGTGAGTGTTGGAACGCTTTTAGGTAAACTCTGCCTAATAGTTTGATTTTTAGATCCCGCTCCTGCTCAGGATGTACATGTAGTTCAAACGTTGATTTGTAGCTTAGGTCTACATTCTTTGAGGCACTTATCGATGGCCACTGTGTGCAAAGTGACTCGAACTGTCATTTTTCCACCACAATTTAAAACTTTGCAGGAATGGTTCCATTACGCTTTTGCTAACAGTCAAATTGATGGTAATGAATTTGCTATATTTTGTGACTATGTGCTTAAATGTTTGCTATCGGCTTTTAATGAATCGTTAAGGTTCATGAATCCGTTACATTCTCTAAAGGTATTTCATTAAGAGCCAACTGCACTGGCTGGGTTTAGGAGTTAAGTGAAGCTTAATAATTAAAGTTGTCGGCACCGCTGTTTAACCGGAATTAAACCGAACTCCTAAGTTTCACTTAAGTGCCATAAATCGGACCGCAAGCGACGGCAGTTGGTTGACGGGTTGGAAGAACATAACCAAAACATTTTTTTGTCAAATTCATATTTTGGTTTATTGTTCTTCGGGGAATATCTAATCGGGTAAAATATGGCGTTCTTTATGAATACATACTTTAATATGGGACTATGACGACCATGTAGATGAATTGGAAGTGCTGGAATTTCCTGGATTGTTTGGAGTCGATGTAAATGAACAGCGCTAAGTCTGCTCTTCCTCGATAAAAATCGAAATGCGGTCTAGATCATGATTCCCGAGTCTTTCTAGTCTTAGCACTAACAATGCCCTTAACTATTTCAGTGCAAGGTTCCTGAGAAGATTTCAATGTTGCACCAAAGCCGGTTTGTATTTTGGACCGATTCTCTTCAGCCGAAAGTTTTTTCCTTTTTATTATTCTCATAACGTTTTCGCAATGACTCCGTGGTGCGGAATATTTCATTTCATAAAGATGAGTTGATATCAGCGGCGATTTTTTATCAAGCTTCGTTATTATCACAGATACAAGAATCAGTTTTTTTTTCGATTATACCGTTATTTTCTCGGCATATTTCGATCAAGCGGTATTAGTCCTCATTGAAATAATTGCGCGTCCGCACTCTTTTTCTGATTTGGTTATCCATTATTTCCAAATCAAATGTTAGCACACAATTTAACACTACAGTATTTACGTTTACGAAGCTACTTGACTAAACGTAAAAATTGGGGTATGATCAGTTTACTGCATAGAGCGTCCTTCAAATCCAAGCAATTTGTATGTGACCGGTCCCCATACTTGTTTGATCGACTTGTTGAAGAAAGGACCTCAATTTTATCAGGCAGTGTCGTGGCATCTCGGGTATTTATACTGGGTGTTTACGAAGTATTTTTAAGCTGTAGGTATTTTCTTAATATTATTAGACAATAAAAATGTCATTTTGGCGCCCTTTTGATACCAGTAATAATAAAACGGATCCCTTTGGTAAATATTTTTAATCTTTTAAGTAATTAATATGAACAACGCCTTTCATACCTTTTGGTGCCGACGCATAAAGACTTACGCGTTCAAACACAACGGATCATTTTAAATATTACTCTTGTTTAAAAGTTGAAAGTGGTGGTGATTCTTCGGAAAATTGCATTTTTAAAATAATTTCTGAATTGAACAAACTTAGCCGTTCGACAATTATAAAAGTGATTAAAGCTGGTGATGTAATTGACCACTCGGTTAAACGCAAACAAATTGGAAATAAACTTAAAAAAAATTGACTTGGGCACAAAAGAAGATATTCGTCGGATCACATACAGCTTTTATAAGGACAACAAAGTTCCAACATTGGAAATGATTCGGGAGAAATCACGAGGTATCCAAATTGTGACTATAAATCCTTAGATACATTAAGAKAAATTTTATTAGATTGTGGTTTTACCCATAAAAAATTGCTCAACTATGACAAAAGGYTTGGCGCAGAATYGTTAGGTTAGAAAACACGCTCAAGGGCCCTATRCTCCACACTCAAGTCCAAGTCGCTCTTAACACGTCAGCTGATCTCGAAGTGACAACTACAAATGCATTTTTCATTATGACAGTCACTTGAGTGTTCAGTGTCACTTGAGAGTCGTCTATATAAATAAGATCATAAACGTAGGAATACGATCCCTTTAATGCGCATGCGCGGACTTTAAGCTATGATTGAGGTTAGGATTTTCCTTAATTTGTGAGTAGTTAAGTTTTTGCACATCAACGCAATTCTCTACGCAATCGCCGCAGGCTCATAGCCGGACCATAAAGTCGTTATTGAATATGCATATGATATATGATTTTTTTAAATGCACTTAAAAATACTAAGATTTTAGACCCCATTTAACACATAAACGTGTACTACAGTCAATGTAATGTAACTAAAAATGCTATGAAATCATCAAATCAGTCGAAATCCAGGCACAAAATGTATTAATAAAATTAAAGCGCTACTCGTATATTTAATGGGCACTTTGGATTTGATGTTATCTTTGCACTCCATATGCTGTGGAGGCAGAAGTGCTGAAGAAATAGGCACCAATTTGGGAAGGTCAACAAGCCTATACATAATAATATATTTCAAATACGGTAGAACTTTAAAAACGAAACCTGTATATTTCCTTTACTAAAGCCCGTGTCCCATGCAACCGTTTGTACGATGGTACGAAAGTGTTTCTATTGGTTGAAGATCTGTTAATTCGTACGACGACGGACATTGCATGGGACACGGGATTAACACGTTGGTCTAACGGTTCAACGAAAAAGCTCGACCAATGGCTGGCCAGAAGCAATACTCAAGCTACCGTCGACCGATACTTGAGCAAGCAAAGCTGTGAGCACTGGCTTGAGCTTGAGAATGGTTTATAAAACGCAATCCAAGCCAAGTCTCGTACTTGAGACTCGACTCAGGCTTGAGCATCGTTTATAAATACGGACCTTAGATTCTCACACATGTGAATTGTCACTCGACTGGTCTAGACCAGGTGAATTTGCTCTCACCGATCGGTGATTTTGATCTCAGGCAATCGGCAATACAAAAATTGCCCGGTAGTGCTCACGTAAACGCATGAAAATAAGGCCCCTGGGCGGTTTATTTACATTTAATATCAATACCAATTTTTCCACCTTCTCGGAGCCTTAAACTGTCATATACAATTGCTATATTAACCATTTTTCAATTTTTGATAACTTTTTCAGCGGTTTTAAAAACTTTGACAATGTTGGCTTTTAAATAAAAAAGCCAGTGAAGCGGGATTTACGAGTGGGAAAAGATCGGAGTACTCTTTTTTTATACTTTCCGATTTTTTCCCACTTGCAAATCCCGCTTCACAGGATTATTTATTTAAAAGCCAAAACAAATATTCATAACTTTGAGCCTGGCAAAAATTAAAAAAAAGGACTTTTTTCCAGGTAGGTTATTTAACAATTGCATTATGCTAAACTGTCCGTCCGATCTTAATCGGCCTTGCGGCTCTCTTTTTGTATTGCAGTCAACTACTTTCCTCTAAATGTATGATTGGCATGATTGGGTTATTTCTTCATTGTTAAATAAATATTTTAAAATTACCTTGGTTTTTACCTACTTTTTTACACAAGCATTTGGCAGCGAACATTTAAAATCTACGGATATCGGACCAACTCTATCTTGTAGAAAATTTCTTAATGAAAAAAGTATTTTACTTTTTGTATGGGAAGTATGCATTTTTCTTTAAAATGCATACTTCCCGAGTTATATGCGATTGTTTCTGGAAAAAAAAACGCGATTTTCGCTTTTTTTCCACTTTTTCGTTGTTTATGCAATTAGCACTTCTTTTCAAGCTGGCGCACCTCGATATTTTCAATAGGTATACAATTCCCGAGTGATTCCAACAGTTATCTAAGTCACGTCACGTTAGAGCCATGTTTGAAAGATTTCGTCGTACTTCTTCTGGTCTATAACAAGTCTATTCATTTTTCATACATACATTAAAATCCGATTATGTAAACATTTAGATTGCATTTAATTTATGTTATAATGTGTTGCTAAACAAATAAGTTGAAACATATCCTACTCATTGAATTACGCAAACTAGTCTAGTGCGCAACTTTTCCATTCGTACGTAAAGTGCTCCTTACAACTTTAGTTACGTAATATACTAATAATTGTTATAGAAGTGGACAAATTTCCGTCCCTAGAACGTGAAAAAGCTGAAGGATCAAACTCAATTGACCGAGCCAGTAGAACCTCTGGCAAATTGGCTGATCCAAATCACACAAGAGAAGTAATCTTTGCGTTGCCTGGATTGCAAATCCATTTGAAGACGGAGCATTTGCAAAAATCATCTATACCTGATGTTAACGGTACGTTATAGTCCAATCAGATTAGACTTTGAAAGGCCTGTTTCGGGCACTAAATAGATGAAGGTAAAAGATTATTGCTTAAGTTGTTTGGAAAGCTGGATGCCAGAATATTGGGACAATAGTTTGAACGCGATTTCCGGCTGGGGAACATTGTTTAAATAATAAAAGAATGTGTGAAAACCCTTCTTCTTTCTTTTCGGAAAACTTTTGAACCGGTGATGCCAATGAAAAAAAATTTAATACTTTTTCAAATATTTAAAATACCTATAATATAAAACAAACTGAATTAAAATCCGTTAATTTGCTACTGTAACTCTTACTGTCGACCACCCGTAAATTTGAGCTGTTAGTAAAAAAAGCCGCAATGATTAAAAAAAATCAATTCCAGAAATCAGTTCCAGAACATCGCAGAGCAATAATGAAACGCTTAAAATTTGCATAGAAATCAAAGCAATTAAGCAATCGATGTGGAAATTTATCTGAAAATAATTTACACTTTAACTTTTAACATTAAAAAGTGGTGATTTTCAACTTAATGTTTATCATTAATCACAATTTATCTTTCATTAATCAACTTTTCCAGTTCAAGTTGTTCCATAACTCTGTACGAGTAAAATAGACCTTCAGAGGAGTCGCTCCGACGTCTCAAAAAAATTTATTTAGGATCTGGCAAGAACGTTTTTTTTTTAATAATAATTAGGAATGAACTAAAATTAAATGAACATTTTAAGCTAAAATTTATACCACTTAGAGAGTGTACAAAGACCTTCAAAAAAAGTTACAGTACGATTGTTTTGAAGCAAAAGTAAATTAATTATAAAACATTTAAAAAAAGGCAGAAATTGGAGCTTTTTTTAGTTTTTTCAGTAAACAAATGAACGGGTTGTAATTCAGTTTGTTTTATATTATAGGTATTTTTCATATTTGAAAAAAGTATTAAACTTTTTTTCAATTGCATCACCATTTTCTTAATTATTTGAACAATGTTTTACAGCCGGAAATCGCACTCCAACTATTGTCCCAATATTCTGACATACTTCAAACAACTTCCAATAATCATTTACCTTCATCTATTTAGTGCCCGGAAAAAATCTCATTCGACTGGACTATTAATAGAATTATAATAAACTAGTTGGGTCAGTTTTGCTGATTACCATTTTATTGAACATTTTAGATGACAAACCGATTGTAGAATGCAGTTTTATTACTGAGTTTGAAGATCATATTTTTGTCACTGTAGACGCCGAATCTTTCTTCTTTTTACACGACCTTATCACTTCGTATCTACAAGAAAAAGAACGTGTGGTACGTCTTCAATGTGCGAATGTGGTATTCGTTTGCGTTACAATTATCTGATATTTTAGTTGGGTGGGTTTGACAAAAGGTCGATATCTGACCATGATAGACTGAAACCAGCAGCCAGTGACGCACTCACGAAAAAAGGCGCTATAGATGGTGACATTTTTGCTAAAGATTGGCGCGATTACAACTGCAAAACTTGGCATTTGGAACCAACAGTTCGGCTACTAAGCGTTGCTGGAAAATATATTGAACCCTATGGTATGTTGCTACATTGCTGCTAAATAGGGGACGTAGTTCCCCTTTGATTCCAGAAACACATTTAAATGCATGGTATCAATTTTGTTGATTCTCTCAAAGTTTTTGATAACTACTCAAATATAAACGTTGCGATGGTCGATTTAGCACAGAAAGACATTTTTACTCATTGTGAATTCCCAACACACTACCTGTTTGTTGCTACGTTCACGATCGGATCAATGATGAACTTAGTTCCATCTACTTGAAAATTACCACTGACTTGAATTGCATTTTTTTTAACATTTATTGTATTTATTGTACCGAGTTGTTCAAACCTTTATACTCCACCAATAATAATGCAAGCCGGAAGCTTGCGGCGAGTACAGATCATGCGTGAATGTATTTTAGTTTAGTTTCTTTCTTGTTTAAATATGCTATGGTTGGGGTACTAACACTTACATTCTGCTCGTTTAACATAAAATGTAAATTTTAAAATGATTTGTCTATCGCAAAGGTTGTAATGGATTTTTTTTATCACAGTTATGCATGAATTTCGCACAGAGCACCGTAGGTCATTCATTTTAGAAAACATTTGTTGATGTGAAACTTATTACAGATTTTTCAGGCATCGATTATATTCTGCAAAAGTTGGGATTCTCTCATGCCCGAACGACAATTCCAAAGTGGCTGCAGCGTGGTTTCATGGACCCAATAGATGCAATTTTAGCGGTATTAACTCTTAGAGTTGTACAAATCGTTAAAGAGGATCAGACGAACAAGGACGAAAGGAAAGCTATAGAAAATAAGAAGTAAGCTTAGTAATTACATTATACTAGCAGAGGTAGGCTTTGGTAATTGAAATGGTGACTATCGAACATATATATACGAGGTTTTTTGGTAGACAATTGTAGTGTTAAAAATTTTATGCTATTTTAAAGGGACTTGTGTCTAATGTGGTAAATTATGTCCGTAACTCTAGTTAGAATTCATTGATTCAAGAACCTAGGAGATGTGTAAACAGTGTACTTTAGTTGTGCAGATTTTATTTATCTGTTACGTTGCCTGAAATGTGATATTATAAATGTTTGCATTTGTTTTAATCCTAGTTCTGAAATATAAATAAATATTGCATTGAGTCAATTATAGACAGATAGTATTTATGGCTTATTGTCAGTACGAGTCAATCAACTAACAAGAACTTCAAACAATATGTCCCTTTCATTAAAATTATTGGATATTTAATAAAATTGTTAGAAGCCAATTGTTATTGCCTTTTACTTTTCATTATCTATTCAGGCTTAGGGCTCGGACCGAATCGAAATAACTGTTCTGTTGTGTTTCGAAAAAAGGTTCCGTTCCGGTTTTGGGTTCATATCAGTTCCGGTGTGTGTTTATTGCTATGCGAACATTTCGGAGAGTTTTGAGACAAACATTTTGAGAAAGTCGCCGAGCGACTTTTAGGCGCTATTTTACAATTTATACGTTAATGTTGGGCGATTTGTAACTGTTATCTTTTAGGACTTTTTAAAAATATGTATGATTATATTCGATTTATGCAAATATCTTTATATGCAGATTGTATAATTTTATAAAATAACTTATTCCTATTCTACAGGTAATTACCCTCCTGCAACTGAAATAGAATTAGGTTTCTGTGTTCTGTTGATCGGTGTTATCAACTTTTGCACCGTGGTACGATATATTAATGTGCCGACAAAGGATCGGCACTTATTAAAGTAAGCGCCTGAAATCGCCGTCAAAGGAAAAAACCGCCGTCTATTGCAGCTAATTGCCAAACATGATATGAGTTAACGATTTTTCTTCTAAGAAAAGACATACTAACGGTGAAAACCGTTGTGAAAATCAACCAATAGGGTATCACAAAATTACTGATGATTTTACGATATAAACTATGAACCATGTAATTTGCATTAAATTCTGGTGTAGTATCCAACATACTCCGTGATCAGTGTGGCCACGTGCGTTTAATTTTAAGAGATAGAAAGAAAAATAAACAAATGGCGAAATATTCAAGGCAACATAAAAGACAAGGGGAGCAGGAAATTCTATTTCGAGGAGAGACTAATACCGAGATTATTAATTTTGAATATAAACTACCGTCGTTCGGGGTGAAAACAAGTATAATGTCGAAAAGAAAATTTTCAATAAAATAATTTAGAGTCTTCCGTGTATCTTTTATTAAACATAATCATTACATATTACATAATCAAGCACATAAACTATGTATGAAGTAAAGGACGACGGTATAAAGCGTTAAAAAAAAGCGTCCGCTGTTTCCTTTTTTCCACTCGTGTAAAGTGGATTTTGGAATTTTATAATTTTCAACAGCAGTCTTAAACTTTTTCTGCCTTGTCGAATATTTCCGAGTGCCGTTGCGACGTTTTCTTCATTATAGTTCTTAAAATTAATACCGACTTTCTTCTCATACTGTCCAATCATGGTGTCCGCCTTCACCTGTATAAAATGACTTTTTTTACTAAAACACAATTCTTTATGACAAAAACAATATTTTCTAATGAAATTGCCATGGGGTGTACTAATAATAGAGCACATAAGAAAAAATAACTATTTTGTTTTTAGTAGGTATTCTCTTCAGGCATTAAAGTATACATATATGCATAATTTCTAGAAAGAAGTTGTTTTCCAATTGTAGCTATCAAACATCTGTTGTGGTTAAATACCGGAACTACCCCAATGACATACTATAACAGATTTCCCTCACTGTCTTGTAGATGATCCCAGTCACCCAAAGCGTTTCGAACTAATACCATGTGGCAATCATCAAAAATAAGACATATTTTTTTCTTGTTTGCCAAACTTAAAAAATAAGGTTTAATATTTGGAAAATGCAAGTTAGCACCCAATAAGTGACATATAGCAAATTTGCCTCCCATCCATCAAAAGTTAAACTTTTAATGGAAATTCCAGTACTTCCGAGATGCTGAAGACAGCCTTTTATCAATTTTGTCTTTTCTTCACCAGACAATGAATTGATTAGAAAATAAGCTACTAGCACTGTCCATCAACAATTGTACCCCACCATAAAAGCAAGCACATTTTCAGCTTTTGGTAAAATATCACTTTCCTGTACCTAAACCTGTTCCAAAGTTTACATACCGAACATGTCTATTACCTGACCAGTGAACATGCTCTCTAATAAACATTTCATCAATAATCAAACCGGTAACTAATTTTTCAACAAGACTGAACATTCGTCATAAACTTCGTAGGGGTCCTGAGTGATGTGTTACACGGTGTTGCCGCAAGGTTTTAACACTGTTGCGAACGTCGCCACAGCAGTTGCGACAAGTAGCACATGAAACTAGGGAATGTCAAATCCCTAGGGAAAAGGCTGCGAAATGCGCCAACTGTGGAGGTGCCCATCCAGCCTCCTACTCAGGATGTCCTGCAAAGCCTGCGCAAAA